GGGCACCTAAGAAAGAGGTAAATCTTCTAAAGCATAGAGTTGATTGCTGCCAGGTCTTCAGCACCCCCAGTGCCCAGGGGAATGTCATCCAATGTTTATTTCACCTGGCGATGCATGACAAATGAACAGGTGAAACTCAAATAATTAGAATATCGTGCAAAAGATCATTTATTTCACTAATTCAACTTAAAAGGTGAAACTAATATATGAGATAGACTCATAACATGCAAAGCAAGATCGTTCAAGCCGTGATTTGTCATAATTGTGATGATTATGGCTTACAGCTCATGAAAACCCCAAATCCACAATTTCAGAAAATTAGAATATTGTGAAAAGGTGCAATATTCTAGGCTCAAAGTCTCCCACTCTAATCAGCTAATTAAGCCATAAGACCTGCAAAGGGTTCCTGAGCCTTTAAATGGTCTCTCAGTCTGGTTCAGTAGGAATCACAATCATGGGAAAGACTGCTACTAAAAAAAAATGCAATACATACATTCATTTATTTGTCCCTTATTTTTAATTTTTTTTACACTTTTCACTATTTTTTTTAATTTATTTACACTTTTCACTTTTTTTATACTGACAAATTTTATTTATTTAATTATATCAGGCAGTCATTGTGAATTAATCTCACTATTACTGCTTGATAAATTAATACACTTTTTTTTATTATCAGGCTGCTTCAAACTTCAGAACAGCCGATAATAAGTTAGTGACACTGATCCTGCAGCAGTTCAGGATTCAGCTGTCAGTGAATGTTTCAGAAAACTTAAACATTCTACTTTCAAGAATAGATACATTATGTGTCTAATACATAACATTTTGTATCTATTCTTGAAAGTCAAAAGATAAAAAAAAAAAAAGCCAGTATAGCTTGAGAGAGATATCTCTCGATCTATACGAGCTGTCAGAATGCCGGCAAAAGCCGACATGTGTGTCTGCTTTGCTGTGACTCTCAGACACCCGATATTAAGGTATCGGGTGTCTGAAAAAGGTTAACCCTTTCAGTAATGGATCTCTAGATAGTTAGACATCTATTACTGAAAGGTAACCGCTGATTCTCAGCGGTTAGCAGCCTTCTAGTGCAGCAAATAACTCGTCACGTACGGTGTACGTGACGAGTCATTTGGTCCCTTTGTGGCTGGACGTACAGTGTACGTCTCCCGTCACGAAGGGGTTAAGGTGCATTAGTGAAATAAATGAACTTTTGTAATTATTCGAGTTTCACCTGTACTATAAAAAAAACAGGGCAAATATATATATATATTTTTAGTGGGTACCCCAACAATTGAGGTTTGGGAGTGCATGGCTAAGGGTAGGAAAACACTGACAATTACATCATGCTAAAAGGAGGTGATGACACATGAAGAAGCAAAGTTTTCTTAACTGTTTGTGGTTTCTTTTAGATATGAAAGTCCAAAGGCTGATTATGAACTTCATCTGTGATCCCGATATCTCCAAAGTGCCAAAATGCATCGAACATGCCTTACAAGCAAGACACCCACGTACAAGATACAGCCCAGGCTGGGATGCAAAGTTAGTGTGGCTACCAGTTTCTTACATGCCAAGTTTCATTGTGGATGCCGTTCTCGCCTTTATTCTTCCTAAACCAGAACAGTGAGCTCAATAGAACATTGTTGGCAAGCTTCGAATCCTTGACCCCATCTTGAAAAAGTTAATGTTCTACAGTAATTGCTAGACATCCCTCTTTAGCTCATGGACAAAACCAACTTCGTCCTGAAATCCTATGACATCTGCTGTGGTACAAGGAAGCATTACATCAAATAGCTCAATTCTCAGCTATTTGTGGTTGGATGACCTATAGTTTTGGATGCTTATAAGTTCTGGCTATTATGAATTACATCATCTGAGTATAAATAGCATCATGCTTTATCACATTATCTGCACCAGCTTTCTAAGTTATTGGATGAACCGCTGTAAATGTAAGGCCTTTTCTGTGTTGAATGCAATAGATGAATAGGAAGAAAAAACTGAGCCAATGAAAACATGATATGTAACAGTCCATTTCCTTTATTTAAGACATTCAGATAGATGTATGTCCCATCTGTGCTTAATTGGTACCCAAGTAGCAATTTTGTAATAAAACTAACCTCACAAGACCATTTTGAGGTTATGTTATATTAAAAACTTATCATGCATACCGATACTACATATTTTAGTTTTGTGTTTTATTTTTAAATGTATACTACACCTACATATCCTTAAGAGACTTAGGGGTTGACTTATAAAGCTGAGCAAATGACGTTCACATGGCATTAAGGCCACCAAATGGCACAGAGGAATATCCTATGCTCCTTGGCACCATCCAGAGGCCGTTACCTGGCAGAAGGCTTATACATCTGCCCCTAAGAATACACCGTTATTCACTTCCACCTCTAACCAGTCTTCTAGGAAGAATAAGTGATAAAGCTTCATGTAGCCATGTAAATCCTGTCTGCATAAATGAACCATGAATCTCACACAGTACCATATAATCTTCATAATAGTCACAAAGACACAAAGTTACGTAAGGGTCAGTTATATAACTGTTGCTGGAAATAGCAAGGAAGAGAGAAAACTCCAAACAATGCAGTGTCAGTTTATTACATAAAAGACCAGTCTGGCCCACATTCCAATCATGTTCTCCTTAAAGTAAACCCATCATAAGAACACGAGCGCTACCATTTCTGACCATCTGAAAATGCTAGATGCAAGAGTGCCATGTTGACCCACTAGTTTTAGTACTCGAGTCCAAGAAATAAGATCAGTAGATTTAGGCACATAGCATTTTTAGAAGGAGGAAAACCTTTTTTCAATTAATGGCCAAACAATTTGAAGACGTTTATAAAAAAATTTTTTTGTAAAAAGTTAATATGTACAAGAATATACAATATGTCAAACACTAACCACTTGTATCCTTTGGAAAGTATGCTTATACTATGCATATGTTATACACTGAGTGGCCAGATTATTATGACCACCTGACGTTTGTAGGCAAATTAGCTATAATTTTGCGCTGAAGTTGCTAGAGGGCCAGACAATTATAAATAGGGAAGCAGGTTGTTTACCACGACAGTAGAAGTGATTTTTTTCTGAAGATATGGGTAAACAACGCGATTTAACAGCCTTTGAACGTGGGATGATTGTTGGCGCTTAGAGCCATGGAGCGAGTATCAGCAAAACAGCAGAATTCGTTAAATGTTCAAGAGCAGCTATTCTTAAAGTGTTTAAAGACTGGACTGTCAGCCGAAAATCTGGGTCTGAACGTGCGAATTGTGGCCGTCAGCGACTAGTCAATGTTAGGGCAGAACGGAGAGTGGCAAGACTGGTACAAGACAACAGAAGGGCAACAGTGCATCAAATTACTGCAGATCTTAATCAGGGATCCTCTCAAATGATCTCTGAACGCACTGTTCGCCGTACACTGCATCGTATGGGATATGGAAGCTGAAGGCCTGTTCGAACACCTTTGCTGTCTGCAGTTAACAAGATAAAACGTCTCCAATTCGCACAGGAACAAGGATTTAACAGTCGAGCATTGGAAGAAAAAAAAAAGTGTCATTTGGTCCATTGAATCACATTTCCAGTTACATAGTATTTGTGGTTGAATAAAGACATACGTCCATCAAGTCCAACCCATATAGGTCCACGCATCATCTCATTCTTAGGGATACTGGTATCCCTGGATATTACGGTCCCTCAAGAAATTGTCCAAACGTTTCTTGAACAAATCTACACTCTTGGCTGAAATCACTGCCGATGGTAGTGAGTTCCAGACCTTAACCGCTCTTACTGTAAAGAACCCTCTTCGCCCATTGTGCTGGAATTTTTTCTCCACCAACTTTAGGTGGTGGCCTCTAGTCTTTGTAATGGAGTTAATCTCAAACAGTTTGTTGCCAATGTTGCTGTCACCATTGAACAT